AATTAGATATGTACAGCTATATAGACAACGCCTTACTCCGGTAAGTTTCTATACAGAGTGTGATTTGATTAGATATGTACAGCTATACAGACAACGCCTTACTCCGGTAAGTTTCTATACAGAGTGTGATTTGATTAGATATGTACAGCTATACAGACAACGCCTTACTCTGGTAAGTTTCTATACAGAGTATGATTTGATTAGATATGTACAGCTATACAGACAACGCCTTACTCCGGTAAGTTTCTATACATAATATGATTTGATTAGATATATACAGCTATACAGACAACGCCTTACTCCGGTAAGTTTCTATACATAATATGATTTGATTATATATCTACAGCTTATTTTATCTTAAGACAACAATGGAACCAGAAATGTAAAACACCTTATTACTATATTTAGCCAACTCTACCGAGGGAGCGCTCCAAACGGTCATACCAATAGTAGGAGGAGTTCCATCAGCTGCGACTCCGCAGAAGACATGTATACTGATATGTCTTTGGAAGATGATGTCATGGACTTAAACCAAAAGGTATCTAATGAACTATGACAGATACTCTTACCAAGGGTTTTTTACTTAGAACCAGGTAACTGTCACCACGGCTAACATACCTTTAGTTTATACATTATAAAATGTACTTTGATACACCAGAACCAAATAGATATTACCAGTTTCCATCGCGGGAATCGAACCCCGGATTCTAGCACTGTGAGTCCGTAGAATTACCGCTATCCCATCAGGGGACCACATAATTCTTCATAGGAACTGTTATTACGTGACCTTAACCTGAACTGGCATCACGTGACCTTAACACGGACTGTTATCACGTGACCTTAACCTAAACTGACATCACGTGACCTTAACATGAACTGGTATCACGTGAACTTAACCCGAACTGGCATCACGTGACCTTAACACGGACTGGTATCACGTGAACTTAACGTGAATTGGTATCACGTGACCTTAACATGAACTGGTATCACGTGACCTTAACGTGGACTGTTATCACGTGAATTGGTATCACGTGACCTTAACATGAACTGGTGTGATATTTGAGATAAACTGTTGCTACATTAACCATTATTCCTTAACTGTTGTCGTGTTACATTTAAACTAAAATAAGATACCTTAATACCTCTCCTAGCACGTTTTTAAAACCGGTTAGTATACAATGTTCGATTGGTCATGGAAACGGGCCGTGAGTGACTTAGAGGTTAGCCTGTCGGGGTTGTGGATCTGGAGGTCCAAGGTTCGAGCCGCGATCTTCTGCTGAAACCTCTCTGCACATTCAGTGGCGAGGATATTATAACTTCGATATACCAAATTAATCCAAGTGCTGACGGGGCTACAGCCCCGGATCCCCGAGGGCTTTAGAATTCCCTTCAATTTTGGGGGGAAAAAATGCCTATTATTCCATCGATGGGATCCCTGGGCCTCCAGTAGGCTTAATCTTACTTTTATTCGGCCATATCTTCATCGTCCTATATACACGTATATTTGTATTCACCTTTGGCATTCGAGGACATGTTGACTGTTTAATAACACCACACTGTTGACTGAATGTTGACTACGTTTAATAACACCACACTGTTGACTGAATGTTGACTATGTTTTAATAACACTACACTGTTGACTGAATGTTGACTCTGTTTAATAACACTACACTGTTGACTGAATGTTGACTCTGTTTAATAACACTACACTGTTGACTGAATGTTGACTCTGTTTAATAACACTACACTGTTGACTGAAATGTTGACTGTTTAATAACACCACACTGTTGACTGAATGTTAACTCTGTTTGATAACACCACATTACTGAGTCGTAATGTAACGATTACGATAGGAATTTTCCTGACAGCAGAGCACCAGTCAGGACATTGAACATTTGTTACAATAGTCTACAAGAGTTCCTTCCACAGGTCCAGGTGTTACAGCAACAGGTAACTGCCCTGACAGAGAACCAGAGTACCACCGATGACCGCTACACGAAGGTTAAACAGGAGAATGCCTCCCTTTTAAAGAGGTAAGTCTGACTTGGTTTATCTTGTACATTAAGTTATACAGTCAAGATATCTCTCCCCTCCTAATAATCTGATATCCTTGTTAACAATAATTGTTTCTCACGACTTGTATAGACAGTGTTTCCATCAATATGAACGACTTTGCGTGTTTGTCATTTTGTTTATTTTTTAGCCTTTACGTTGTATTCATGGTAAGAGGTGACCGACTGAAATCTCTCGCCCCGCGACCTCCAGGGTTCGAATCCCCCGTCCCACCAAACATGCTCTCCATTTTCACCCGTGGGGGCGTTATAATGTGACGGTCAATCCCACTATTCTTTGGTAAAAGAGTAGCCCAAGAGTTGGCGGTGGGTGGTGATGACTAGCTGCCTTCCCTCTAGTCTTACACTGCTAAATTAGGGACGGCTAGCGCAGATAGCCCTCGTTTAGCTTTGCGCGAAATTCAAAACAAACAATACTGTTTCCCCCTGGTGGTGCAGCAGGAAGTTTTCTGTGTCTCAATACCCGCGGTGGGTAGAGCACAGATAGCCCATCGTGCATCTTTGTGCTTTACAACACACAACATTAAAAACTTTGTTGTGGAACATATGAAACAATAGTGGTCATTCATTTAGTGTAACACAAAGGTCTTTGAACTTTTTAGTTGACCTCACAGACGAAGTTACTAGAAGACAAACTATTAACCCTTACGCCACATACATATATATATATATATACAAACATCATTGATAAGTTGGGCTATTTGAAATTGAGGGGTGAGTCATTTATTTACGTTAAAAATATGTGACGTAAAATAATTTTGTTTGTTCGTCTGTACATGAACTGATTTATTCTAGGAGTTAAGCCTATCGGAGACTTGCTGCGTTGATTTCTAACGCCTCCATGTAATCTGATATATCAGCTTGTAAGTACAAACGTATACAAGCAGACGTCATCATGTAGACATCTTGAGATATCACAAGATCACAGCAAGCGACTTGTAGATATTAGATATTTGTTTTCAGTTTATATCCAAACAAACAATGCCCCCTTGTGACTCCGCGTTTAGTCTGAGGGCTTATAACGCTAAAAAAACGGGTTTCGATACCCACGGTGAGCACGGTACACATACCCCATTGCGTAGTTTTGTACTTAATAACAAAGAAACCCCTGTCGTTCCCCGGTGTGTCAACAGTAAGGGTGTATAGTCTTGCAACGCTAAAACCTGGGGTTCGATATCTCGCGGTAAACAGGGCGCGAACATCCCATTATGCAGTTTTTGCGCTAAAAATGATAATAACTAAAAACGCAAAGAAAACTTTTTTTCTTATGCATCGATAAGACACGTAAGTACAGGACTGAGAAGTGGAAATAATAACTTTATACAACAACCCTTAGAGAGTAGTATCTAGACTAAACTAAGCCTCGAATAAAGCTTTTGGAACCATTAAAGCCTATGTCAGGTGTGACATATTTATTAGTCAAAAATTAAATGGAACACGTCGTGTTTAGAAAAGATGTATCCAGTTGTGATAGCTTGTTATGTTGGACAGTACAAGATAATATTTTAGTTCTGCCCCCCCCCAAAAAAAACGTGATTGTAGTTGTTGTTTTTAGAGGAAATTTAAACAGGTGGCTTTATTGGAATTTTCCATCCAATTTGTGGATGACGTTCACGTCAGCGAAACGTTGAACGTCGGTTCTCATGCGCACGTTGTATAAACTACCTGGTCTTTCTCTAGTCATGCGCAGTAGACCAAATCGGTATTATTCTAGAAAACACGCTCCATTCCTTGTCATTTTCCCACAGATATTGTTAATCAGGGATTTAATTAGCAGACGAACCCCAAGAAAAAAAAAGAAAAGAAAAGAATGGAATAAATAGATGTTGTGTTGCAGAACAGCACCATCTACTGGCAACTTGAATTTATGACTGGGATCATTTAAAAATTGAAATAAAAACAAATCGATATATTATTCTCAGACGAGATTGCAGGTAACAATTGTTAGTTTTCACGTTTAATAACACCACACTGTTGACTGAATGTTGACTACGTTTAATAACACTACAATGTTGACTCTGTTTAATAACACCACACTGTTGACTGAATGTTGACTACGTTTAATAACACTACAATGTTGACTCTGTTTAATAACACCACACTGTTGACTGAATGTTGACTACGTTTAATAACACTACAGTGTTGACTCTGTTTAATAACACCACACTGTTGACTGAATGTTGACTACGTTTAATAACACTACAATGTTGACTCTGTTTAATAACACCACACTGTTGACTGAATGTTGACTGTTTAATAACACCACACTGTTGACTGAATGTTGACTGTTTAATAACACCACACTGTTGACTGAATGTTGACTGTCTGTTTAATAACACTACAATGTTGACTGAATGTTGACTCTGTTTAATAACACCACACTGTTGACTGAATGTTGACTCTGTTTAATAACACTTCACTGTTGACTGAATGTTGACTCTGTTTTAATAACACCACACTGTTGACTGAATGTTGACTACATTTAATAACACTACACTGTTGACAAAATATTGACTACGTTTAATAACACCACGTTGATGACAGAAAGTCGACTACGTTTAATAATACCACATTGTTGACAGAATGTTGATTAGAACCTCCACATGAATCAAGTTTAAAATATGGACCTACTCAAATAAAATTTTACCATAAAAATTATTCAAACACATATAGTTAGGTCAGTCAATGTCCAACAAACCATAGGTTTAACTGTATCGGTTTTGACCCACGATCGTGTCTGTTTACATCAGCGTCTTAAACTGTATCCTTTACCTGCACCTGTACATTAAAACTGAGTAATTGTCCTAATAATATTTGTAACACAGTTGTCCGTCTCCGTCTCTAGCTTTTATTCTTGGAAATGGTTTTCTAATTCCTTTTAAGATATTTACTGAAAGCAACAGACACTGTGATAAAAAATACGATCACGAAAACTGCATTTTAAATCACAAATTTTAGGCCTATTGATTTTTAATGCTGCGCCATCTTTCGGCGTTAAACTGTAACACTTTTGTTTTTATGCATAAAAGCATTGTTAAGCGCCCGCCTTCTTTTCTAGTTGCGAAAAGTGAAGTATGGTGTTTATTGTATCATGAAAATTTTTACTGTCTTAATTAACAAAAGAAGCTTAATGTGAGTTAAACAAACTCTTTCGATTTAGTTTTCTGCGGTTACTGGTACATGTAAAAATTATGGAAACGCTCGCCCCATCTATTGAGCATGTTAGAAACTATAGTTTCGTTAATTAATACAAACAGCCATAGCTGTTCGTTGGTTTACTTGTTGTTAAGCGCAGAGCTAAACAATGGTCTAATAATGGCTGGAGACGGCTTAAATGGGTAATGAAGAAAAACTTTAATATAACAGCATGATGACAAAACCTTGTCGAAACGTTGTACATTTGCTGTTATATTAAAGTTTTTCTTCATTACCCATTCAAGCCGTCTCCAGCCATTATTAGTCTCAAAGTGGGTTCCTCGTCATCGAATTTAAACAATGGTCTATCCGTGCTCTGTCTATCGAGGTTATGGAAACCCGATTTTTAGCGTTATAATCCCCTAGGGGCAGGTATTTGTGAAAAATTTATTGAAATGTGTTTTTCTCTCTCTTAGTCCCAGTTTGTTTGCTAGCGATCTGAGTTAAGTGTAAATATTTCATTACTCATTAAATGTCCAGTGAAATATGGAAATTAATTATAAAAAATATTTCGTTAATTAATATATATATAAGAACTTTGCCATTTATTTCCAGAGCTTCGAACGATTGTTAGAAGTTCGTGTTTTCCTGCATTAGTTTATTTAACCTTGCTAATTCTGTCATACATTTTATCGACTGACATTCCAGTAGTTGGCTCAAGCATGACGTACCAAATCTGAAGCTGGAGCCTTCCGTGAAGTCTGAACAGTATAATGTTAGTGTTAGGACGTAGATGTATTTCTACCTAACTAGCAGTCACCTGTTTTTGGAACAGCGCCCTTTTCATTGCGCTTAGTGACAGTACGCTGATTTCGACATTTTAAATCTATTTTTTCCTGTTAACGTTTCGTGTTTATACTGATGTTACCATGATAACCACTGGTTTAGATGCATGCTGAAGTTTTAGCACTACAAGACTATTTTGGTATAATCCGGTTTAGGGAAATGGATTTTTTTTAAAGTGCGCCAATCGGCGAAATCAAAGTATTTATGTAATTATTAAGTACCAGTTTGTGACGTAGTAATGAGATCGTGTTTGTGACGTAGTAATGAGATCGTGGACGAGTAATCCTAATTGATTTTGTTTTTAATACCCTTCTCAGAAAATGGAAACAATAGTTATTGGATTACAAAACAACAACAGTAGACGCATAATCTAATCTTGACGGTTGTTAAACGTAAATTGTAACACAAATATTACAGTTGTTAATTATAATTCTTTTTTTTTGTTGTTGTTAGTAATATGTATACACATATTCTCTTAAAAAAAACATTTTGAGTTGTGTACTGTAGCTTTAATGTCAGGGGTCGTGGGTTCGAATCCCCGTTCCACCAAACATGCTCGCCCTTTCAGCCATGGGGCGTTATAATGTGACGGTCAATCCCACTATTTGTTGGTAAAAGAGTAGCCCAAGAGTTGGCGGTGGGTGGTAATGACTAGCTGCCTTCCCTCTAGTCTTATACTGATAAATTAGGGATGGCTAGCGCAGATAGCCCTCGTGTAGCTTTGCGCGAAATTCAAAACAAACACATTTAATGTCAGAACAAAGACTGGTAATTTTAACCCTTTTACGTGAGACAGGAGTAGATTGAATGTTTTGTAGTTAGAAACCTTACATTTGGTTGTTCAGTTCTGGGAATTATGAAACTCGCTTTTGTTCGTGTTTCGACTCCAATCATCAGTTTTAACTCTATTGAAACTCTGGATAAACTCGCTGAGGACAATTCCTTGTTACCCGAATCACCTGGTTGGCGACCCCCAGTGGCACAGCGATATGTCTGCGAACTTACAACGCTAGAAACCGGGTTTCGATACCCATGGTGGCTAGAGCACAGATAGCCCATTGTGTAGCTTTGTGCATAACTTCAAACAAACAAACACCTGGTTGGCATATCATAACATTTGAGAGACAACAAAGGGATCCTTAGCCTCTCGGTCCATTCCATATGCTTACATCCAGCCCTGACTCCCCAAGTATTCGTTAATCCCTTCCCTAAACTCTACCATATCTTAGACCAGTTTTGTTTAATAAGCTAGTTCACGGGAGGCTTTATTTGTTCTCTCCATTCTTCCAGAATCCATTCTTTAGAAGAAAATATCAGAGAACTGGAAATTAGGTCCGAGGAAAGAATCAAAGAAGAAGAAAGGCATCTGAGAGAAAACATGGTGAGATTTTCACACTGTTAAATGTTAGCTAATACTTAAAGAATCCATCAAATACCAACATTTAATATATAAGGTGTATTTATCAACCAATCCCAATAACATAACTGATACAAACTTATTGGTTAATTTTTTTTTTTTTTTTTTTTTAGTAATACAACCCGTTTCATTCTTTTCTTACTGTTCCAGATTCTCAATGTTTTTTGTTTTGTTTTTTTACAGGCTAAACTAGAGAGAGATAAAACCATGGAAACAGAATATTATTCCAGTAGGTAAGTAAAAAACTTAAACTTCTGGAAAAAATGTTTATTTGAGAAAAGTTATACACATTTCTGGATGACAGATGTTTTTTTTTATAGTTAAGTGTGTTATTTTTATATTTGATTATATTATTAACTAAAATATCACTTGGGGGGGCACTCAGAAGCATCAGTTTCTCTTCACCCCACTCGTGATGGGGGTGAGGGGGCTATACTTTGAAGTTTATGAGTCGGCATTTCCAAAGTTGTTGTTGGTGGTATCACTGTATCTCTTCTCAACTACCCAACGGCCATTGTCGGACTTATGGTCCTTCAGGGTGGCAGGGGATCTAAAAATTCAGTGCCTGGATTTTGTTGTGGGCAAAACAGGAGCACCCCGAGAAAACCCACTTTCACTATTCAAGCAGAAGTGTATCCCTCAGTGTAACTTTCAAACTTGACTATATATATATATATATTAAGATGAAGTTTGAGAAAACCAAGTTTTAATTTAATTCCCTGCTATTATTTCGTTCTAGACTATACAGTCTCCAACAGGAACACCTAGAGATCAAGGAAGATGTTGTGAAGTTCAGGCAACAAATTGAAAGGTTAAAACAGGTAAGAACAAAGTTCACGGCTCTCCTCTGAAATCAAAACCTAAACCTCCACACACACTATTCAAAAGTCCTTGCCTGCATTCTCAGTCAGTCTATCGAGATCGCGGGTTTCTAACTCGAGCAAGTTTTTCATCAGCAAGTGTCTGAGTCTGTAATAAATAAAACCAACTTTGTTAATACTGTTGTTTGTAATACATTAGTGACAAATATTAACTCTAGTCTTAGTTGAATCAGATTAAGTTCTCGGTGATTACTAGTTTCCTATCCTTGAAATAAAAAAAATCTAATATTCTACCTATCTTCAAGTCGAGTTTGCTTTG